AAACTTTCACAGCCACTATGGAAACCAGTGTGCTGGTTCCTCAGGAAGATGGGAATCAATCTACCTCAATATACAGCTATATCACTCTTGAGCATATACCCAAAGGATGCAACATCCTACTACAGAGACACTTGTTCAACCATATTCTTTGATGCTCTATTCATAATAGCCAGATTGGAAACACCCAAGTTGTCTCTCAGCAGAATAACACATAAAAAAAAATATGTTGTACTTATACAATGGCATATTACTTAGCTATGAAAAGGGACAGAATTAAATTTGCAGGGAAATAGATAAAACTAGAATAAATTATCCTGAGTGTGGGATACCAGGTTCAGAAGGGCAACTATGTTATGTAATAGCTTATATGTGGATATTAACTATTAAGTCAATGATAGCCATGCTATAGTTAGTCCATAGAACCACAGAGAGTAGGTATAGATTAAGGTACTAGAAGAAACAGATAGACTCATTAGGGCAGGGAACAGAATAGATAGTTCTAAGTCATTGAGGGGGGTGCTTGAATGGGAGGATCAAGTGAGGCTTGGGAGGGGACAAGGGGTATGAGAGAGAGAACAGAGGGAGAGACAGCTAAAATAAAAGGGCATTTGAGAGTTAGTATTGAAAACTAATACAGTAGAAACTTCCTGGCCAGGCGTTAGTGGTGCATGGCTTTAATCCCAGCACTCAGAAGGCAGAGGCAGGCGGATCTCTGTAAGTTCAAGGCCAGCCTGGTCTTCAGAGCGAGTGTCAGGATAGGCTCCAAAGCTACACAGAGAAACCTTGTCTCGAAAAACCAAAAAAAAAAATTCCTAAGATATTTACTTATATTTAAATGAAATCACCAAATAATTGGGGAGACAGAGACCCATCTGGACATCTCTTGTCACCAAACAAAACTTCCATTACTAAGACTGGGTTACATTTAATTGAGGTATTGGCCAAAGGGGCACCATGAGAACATCCAAGCCAAGGCTGTTGACAAGACTATAGGTTGCTCTCCACAAACTGACAGCAAGGCCCCACTGTTGAAGACAACACCTAAACAACTCATTTAACATGGGGAAGTCAGGCCAGTGCCTACATAGAGCCTTCACCCCTGTGTTCCAGCATCTTTGGTACAGAAATGTACTCTGTAAACACCAAGGCAGCCACAAACCCTTTATCTACAACAGGGCCTGCCTGGAAGATATGATGGTCTAATGGTGGCACAAAGCTTGTGAGAGTAGCCAACCAAGAACTGATTGGACTTAAGGCCCACTCCATGAGATGAAATCCATACCTGACACTTCTTTGATAACCAAAAACTATATAGACCATACTGCTCAGGAACCTAGGCTCAAACCAAATAATACTGGTCTTAAAAAAAAGGGAAAAGGCTTGTAGTGATAAAATGACTCCTAATGATATCCTGCTATACTCATAGATCAATACCTTGCTCAGCCATCATCAGAGAAGCTTCCTCCTGTAGCAGATGGGAACAAATACAGAGATCCACAGTCAGACATTACAGAGAGAGAGAGGGACCTTGGAACACTCAACCCTAAATGGGATGTTTCCATCATATCCCTCCCCTCAGAGCTCAGGGAACACCAAGGAAGACGAGATAGAAAGAGTGTAAGAGCCAGAGGGGATGGAGGACACCAGGAGAACAAGGTCCCCTAAATCAACATGAGCCAAGGTCAAAAGAACTCATTGAGACTGAAGCAGCATATGCAGGCCCTGCACATCTTGGCACCACGTCCTCTGTGTACATATTATGACTTTAAGTTTAGTGTTTTGTTTTGTTTTTGGTTATTTTTTTTTTTGAGACAGGGTTTCTCTGTGGTTTTGGAGGCTGTCCTGGAACTGGCTCTTGTAGACCAGGCTGTCCTCAAACTCACAGAGATCCCCCTGCCTCTGCCTCATGAGTGCTGGGATTAAAGGCATGTGCCTCTAAAGCCTGGCCCAGTTTAGTGTTTTTATGGGATTCCTGAGTGTGTGAACCAGTGGGACCCTGACTCGTGCATCTTCTCTTGTGCTCTTTTCCTTCTGTTGGTTCTTTTCGTCAACTTTGATGTGATAGCTTTGTTTAATCTTATATTTACTTTGTTATATTTTAAAAAATGTAAGGCAAAGGACACAGTCAGTAAGACAAAACGACCACCCACAAATTGGGAAAAGATCTTCACCAGCCCCACATCTGACAGAGGACTGATTTCCAAAATATACAAGGAGCTCAAGAAGCTAGCCACCAAAACACCATACAATGAAATTAAAAAGTGGGGTGCAGAACTAAACAGAGATTTTTCAACAGAGGAATCTGAAATGGCTGAAAGACACTTAAGAAAGTGCTCAAAATCCTTGGCCATCAGAGAAATGCAACTCAAAACAACTCTGATATACTACCTCACACCTGTCAGAATGGCTAAAATCAAAAAAACCAATGACAACCTATGCTGGAGAGGATGTGTAGAAGAAGGAACATTCCTCCATTGCTGGTGGGAGTGTGAACTTGTAAGACCACTTTGGAAATCAGTATGGCAGTTG